CCTCCCCTTTTTATAGACGTCGAGGCTATCACACACACACACATGACTCACATGACATGATCAAGGGGGGACAAACATCAACCACGTGATAGTTCATGTTGCGGAGAGTAGTGATGATGGTGGTAATGGTGGCAAAGCTACACAAGCGAACACAGGAATGGCGGAAGATTTATGAACAGTGCACGGTTGTGGTTGTGATGGCTAAGAATAAGCTTAGAAGGCTCTATAGTGATGCTCTCCAAATCACTTCTGCCGCTGGGCATCATCAGGAACATCATGCCGAGGCCGGCCACGGGCTTCCGTTGCAGGTTCGTGGAAAGCGGGTAGAGCCCGCCCGAGCCCCCTGAGGAGTCGCCTCCCTCCTCCAGGGATGTCTCTATAGGCTCTCAAAGAAATCCAAAAAAGAGAGACGCTTAGTTCAGTTAGAGTCTTATGGGGCGCTTGGTCGCTTCTTTTGGTCGTCTTCGGGCGTTTTTATTTTTTATGTAAGCTCTCTTTTGCCGGCCGCTGTGGCCATCGCGGGCGGCGGGCCTCGGCCAGCAGCCTCCGGCTCGTGGCAAAGGCGTCCACGGCCACCGCCGTCTCGCCCCGGCGAGCCTCAGCCGGCGAAGACTCTTTAGAAAACTTTAGATGCACGGTTTGGCTGGCGATTAAGAGCTCTGCGCTCGCGGCTGTTGCGGCTCCTCTCCGCTCTCCCCGCTCCCCGCTGGGCGCCCGGCGCGGAGGCAGCGCAGGTCCACGTACCACGTGGCCTCGTCCGACAGGGGCCGCGCGGAGGGGGAGGCGTGAGGGAGGCGTGCGGGGTCTGGATTCCACACCGCGCATCTGATAGGGCCCCCCTCCCAGCAAGTCCCACACGATGATGAGCAGCAGGCAGCTCACCTGGCTACTTGGACTTCAAACTTTGCACGCAGGAGCCCAGAGCGGAGCTTTCCCAGCAGACTTTCGCAGCTGAGAAGCCGATCCGAAGACCACCGTCCCATTGTCCACGGCCTCGGCAACTCGAAAGGAATCTGAGGGAAACTAAAAGCACCGCTGGTCCGAGAAGCATTCTCGACGGTGATACGGACCCATGATAAGAAGCCATCAGGCTTCTCCAGACCTCCGCTCAACTCTGAAAACTCTTATTGGCTTATAGGACCTTCCAGAGTGATGGCGCTGAGGGCCGCTCAGGAACCGCGGGACATCCGGTATCCATCAATGCAGTCTTCACAATAGTTCGTCTGCGTCGGGGAGCATCGCCTGCCCACCCCCCACAATGCTCGCACCGCTGGATCTCGCAACCTTCAAAACTTCAAAAGATGCACGCGAAGCTCCTGCAGTTTCGCACACCGCACCGTGCGCAGCTGCTGTCCTGCTCGATAGTCACCTTAGTGAGTATGTGGTGTCTTTTTCTCTCAGCCACGACAGCTGCATCCGAGGACCAGGCATAGGCCGGGGACTCTTCGAAGGACGGACAGCCAGGGACGCATCGGAAGCTACCTGAGCTTTGAGGCTTTGAGGCCAGGCCAGGCCAGGATATCTCCTGCTTTTTTGCGGGGCTTTTGACCTCACCTCTCGGACCCAACGCTCTTCATTCGGCTGCCTTTATAGGCAGCGCCCAATCTCTGGGCGAAGTGCAGTAGGCGTCGCTGATCTCTGACCAATAGGCGCAGACTTTTGGGCACTTCGCCTCCTGCACAAGCACACGCCCGAAGCCCGAAAACCAGGCTGCACCGGAAGCGAGGCCCAATCCAGATTCTCGCGAAGTGAAAACCCCTCAAGGAGGTTAACCCTTCTAAAATCGTAGCAGAACGCCCCCCGGTCCGTCCTTGGAGATCCGGGCAGCGAAGAGTTTTTTCTCACCTCGCCCGACTTGCGGCATCCCCAGATCGGGGCTGGGTAGACAACATGGGCTGCGCGCCAAAACATACCGGCGGCCATATCCTGCCCCAAAACCCCCTTCCTCAGCTGGGCTTCCAAGCAATCCTCTGGCCGGATCTCTGTCAGCAGATTGGTCACCTCATTGCCTTCGAACGAATCACTTCGGCACGTTCGTGCGGTTGTGGTTCTTTTGGATGCTTTAGGGGGCTTGAGTTTGGGTTTAGAGGTTTGGGGTCAAGTTTCTGGGTTGGGTTGATTTGAGGGTGTGGGGCTTTGTCGGCTTAGGATTCAGGTCCGGACGTCGGCATCCCTAAGCCCTAAGCCCTAAACCCTAAACCCAAACTCTAAGCAATTACCACGAAGCCGCGGGGCCATGCCGCTTTGCCAGCTCCAGGTCTGTCTTGCGGATGTCCCGTGGCTTCGCGTCGAGCCACTTGATGCCTTCCGAATCCGAACCGAAATGGTTGCAAAAATCGATCAGATTCCGGGGGAATTCTCGAGCCCTGGCAGGATCTGAAAAGTATTCACAAGAATAGGGGAACGGGAACCCGGCCTGGAAAGTACCGCCGATTGCTTACAAGTTCTTGACAAAGGCGTATTTTCTGTGTCTGTGACACCGGCGTCACTGCCGTCAGCATCGAAAATCACCTAGCCCTCATCACGATCATGTTCTTATCATCCCTACCATCGATATCACGGTTTTACCATCATCACGATCATCGACAGCATGACTAACTACTTTGACACCACACCTCTGCATCACCAGTGCCACCAACCGCTGGTTCACCATAGCTCCCTAGAGTCTCTCTGTGCTCTACAACGTAGACCCTGAAAACATCCATGGGAAAAATCACATCAGCAGTTGCACTGGACGTACCGACGTAGCTGCGACTAGACTGATGAACATCGTCAGGTGGTAATCGGATCGTCCAATCGAAACGTGCCGAAGCTGCTGTACTGGCCGGTCCAACGGCCCGTCCCGTCGCGGATGTAGGGATCCTGCAAAGGAAAGAAACTGCGTGACACGGCGAGGGCCACTAAGGACCATGCACCACGCAGTTTGCAAGTCCAACCTTGACATCCACATCCACAACACGCACACTGCTGACAACAAGATACGATGTCGCACTGCTACCGAGACTGATTAGTCACGCGTGTGTTGGTGTGCGTTGGCGTGCGGTCTTCGTACATGCACATTCAATTTCCTTTTGATACTGGTTACCACCATGTGCACATGAACAGAAAGCACGTGATGAATCATGCCAGCATAACTGCCACACTGGACACAGTACTTAGCATGTACATGCTTCCACTGGTACGTCACAAGAGCCAACAAGAAGCACCGATCCTCCTCCGAGTCCCTGGTCACCACCGCCGGATACCAAAAGCCTCGGCTCTGGCGCAGAGATGCCGCAGATGCCTTGGGGTCGGGTATTGCCGAGCAGCCATTCTCCGAATCCCTGGCCATGACCTGCACAGATCCCAACAAATCGGGGGAGGAGAGAAGCTATAGCGGGCTTAATCTCTAACTCTGAACAAACTCCCACCTGATCGCCGTGATCCTTCGTAGGAGTGGAGCCCAACTTCTGAAGCCTGTGGATGCGAGTGCCAGGCATTCGGGCGGCACGGAAAGGCGACTGACTGCAATCTGAGACATGTGACTGGTTGAGGTAGTAAGTTTGGTCATGGCCAAGATGGCCAGGCACCTTGGATGGCAGGCGAAGGTCCAAAACACGCACGGAACTCGGAAAACTCGGAACTCTGCGGATCGAGTCGACGTGCGCAGTGCAAAAAAAGCGCCGAGTCGCCTTGACCAGAAAGTCACCCTGGTACATTGGGTACACGACCTTCGAGTATCGCCAGGGTTTCGAGGCAGAAGGCCGGATCTAAATGATCCACGACCCTCCAAGTACCCTCAAGTAGGGGTATATGCGGTATATGGTCCCAAATTAAGGGGTATTTGGGATCTAGTAGAGGGTAGATGGAGGGTCTAGGTATGGGGTTGCCTGCACCACGGCGCCGAAAGGCCGGACTTGCACGTAGTCCTCCATACTCTCACTCACCGAAGGCTTTCTGGCTGAGGCTTCGTGGGGCCTGGGGAAGAATCCGGTAGCGCGGGCGCAGCATGAAGCTCGACACCTGCAGGCGACCGGGAGCCGCCGCGACCCGCCCGGAGCTGACGCGCACTGTGGCAGGTGCCTCCTCGGTCTCGTTCGTCTGCGCGTCCTAGAGGCAGCACCGGGCGTAAGAGAAGAGAGGGTCTTGTGAGTCATTCAAGGCTCTACGGCGGCACGCGCCGGGGCGGTCCTGCACGAGGAAGGCCGGGCAGTTCACGTGCTCCTCGTCGGAGACTTCCCCGACCACGCGCCCGACCCTCCAGGAGCCACGCCTGCAAAGAGGAAGAGCACAAAGGAGAAAAAGAACGCCAAGCTTTAAACCGAAATCTTGAAAACAAGGGCAAGAAACAACTCCAAAGCGAAAGCTGCAGCGAGGCTTGGGGCCCACGCTCGCTGCTGAAGGCGATAACGGGATCCCCCATATGGTACATCTGAAAAAGCCGCACGTCCTCAGAGCATGCTTGCTAGAGCCTGCATGCAGCTTTCGAGGGCAGTGAGGGCGGCTGCAGACTCTCCCCGTTTGTGCTCACAGCGAAAGCCCAGCGACAGCTGAGGTAATCTTGGGCACGGACATCGACCATCCTGGCACCCCCCAAGACATGTGACTTCAGTTGCTTGGCTAAAGTGACTAAAAGGTATCAGTATCTGTGTCTCAAGCCCCCAAAATCCGTGCCCCTGAACTCATAAAGCAGGGTCGCCTGGATGCCGCACTTTCGGACCTTCCAAAGCAACGAGAAGCCGCGCTCGTTTCAGCAGTTTGCACGCACGCAGCTTTGTACGAGCTAGTTGAGGCCCGCGCGAATTCCAGTCGGCAAGAGAGCGGAGGAGCTGCCCTCAGCTGCAAGCTGCAGCAGTACCCCGACTGATATTCAGGCAAGCACCGGCCCCGACCGGCGCTGAAGAAATCACACATGTTTGCACACCCCTCGATGTAGGCGCTACACTGCACGGCCCAAAACTGCGCAGCTGTGAGACGGTCGCCGTGCCTCTTCGCCTCTTCGGGAGCAGTATGTAAGCGTCGCCTCAGCCAAAATGCTTCTACACTGCGCCGCACTGCGCCGGTCCACTGCCCCAAGAGCCTCTTAAAAGAAGATGCTCGGTCGAACTATAGTCCGTTACCCTACGCCTAAGTCGCCCCGCAAACTGAAGAAGCTTGGCATAGACGGTCCGTGAAACAGATCTCGGTAGGGCCGTGGAACCGGTCGGGGACCTGGTTCTTTGTTTGGTGGCGGTCGGACCAAAGCTGCTCGAGCCGGAAACGCTTGACAAACAGAGCATCAAGCAACGGCCCAGAACAGAATCAAGAGGCCAAGTAGCCCTGGAAAGAGCATTTGCGGACGGGAATAGACACATGACCTGCTGCCTTGAGAGCGCACAAAGTCCAATCAACAACCCGGTCTGCGGCGGACTGTTCTGCGGGGGCGAACCCGACGGCTTGGACCCCCGGCTGAGGTCATCAGCGACACCGAGATGCCCGGAACATTGTCAACATGGACGGGCGCCAAGAACACGCGGAGCACAGAGCCTATCCCCTTGGCCCTCCCAAGAAGCCGCTTCGGATGCGCAACCTGTCGGACCGGAAAATGGCGTCAGAAGCAAAGCTCCCTGAGCGGCCAGTTCCCACGTAGCAATGAAGCATTGCAAGGAGCAGTCGGGCGGGAGCCAAGGGAAGGGAGCAAGCATCTGCTCACGGAACAAGTGCTCTGAAAGAAGAACTGGCGAGAGTCCGGAAGACGGACAAAGCCACCCAGACACACGGAGGTAGCATCCGCGCAGGCATCGGCAAATGCCACGCACTCGACAGACTTCGGAGGCAGCATGAGCGAACGGAGATCCGAGCCGGAAATAATCACAGCCATTCACATGCGCATGACTTCACATGAGGAACCAGACAGACGGCAAAGGGCCCTGGACGGAGACGAAGATTGAACCGAAATACGCCGGGATTTCGGAACGACATGTGACATTTCAGCACATGTGCTCAACGGGGCCGACACCGAGCAACTTCGGGAGGGAGAGCATTCCAAGTCGCGCACGGAACAGTCCGGAGGCCAAAACCTGCTTGTACTTGTCAACGCAATCAAGCTCGAGAGCTTGGCCGGGTCAGGGCGGACTGTAAAGCAGTCACACTCCAACTGCCAGCCTATCCGTCAGCAGGCTCCCCTTCACAGGCCGAGCCGGTGTGCTGAGCAGCTTCACCACAACACTTGGAAGTCTTCGCCTGAAGGGGGGCGCCTGTCCAGACTGCTTGTTTTCTACGCCGGCTCTGCCTCTTGGCTGCTGGTTCCGGTCCCTTCTTCGCCGCCGAGTCTTCTGCTGCCTCCTTCTTGGTCTACAAGCCACGCAGCTCCTCACTCAAGCCTTGAACTCGGCTCTCTCACTACAGCGCCTCCTCTTTCAGACCCTGTACGGTTTCGAGTTGTTGCCTGATTCTAATGGAGTTCTGCTCGATCATCGAGTTCTGACTGTTCTCGGACTTCGCTTTGTTGTACTACTCCTTCAGCTGTGCCAAATGGCACTCACTGCCGAAGTATCCGTCGTGCCACTTGCTGCTTGGGCTCCAGCGTTCTGCAATACAGTCGTAACCTGGGACTCTGTGTGACTTGGGATGAACCCCAATCCCTTGTCACCCGTGCCAGGGCTGCCCAAGCCTGGAAAATCTAGGGAGACCGCGAAGCAGGACTCGCTGTTCAAGGACATACCCGCACGCCGTAAAGCCCAAAACGCCAAAACAAAATCAGATCGTTCGTCTGATACGCTACAAAAAAACCTCTTGAACAAAAAACAGGTGCGCCGTCTCCAAAAAGACGACCCCTAAAAGAGACTGCAGGTAGCACACACACACACACACACTTACTTACACACACTTCTACCATCCTCTCTCTCTCTCTCTCTCTCTCTCTCTCTCTCTCTCTCTCTACCAGGACAGAGAGGGCAGGCGGACACCTACCCTCCCGCGCGCGCGCGCGCACC